TGGCATGACGTAATGTTTTGCCAAAAATAGCTCTCATGTCAAATTTGAACTCTCTAACTTTAAAAACACCAAAGTTATACCATTTCCGATCAATCAGTTATATGGCAGCTATAGGATATAGTCGGCCGATACCGGTCGTTCCGACTTATATACTGCGTGCAAAGGAAAGAAGGGTGTGTGCAAAGTTTCAAGACGATAGCTTTAAAACTGAGAGACTAGTTCGCGTAGAAACAGACAGACAGACAGACGGACAGACGGACAGACGGACAGACGGACAGACGGACATGCTCATATCAACTCAGGAGGTGATCCTGATCAAGAATATATATACTTTATAGGGTCGGAGATGTCTCCTTCACTGCGTTGCACACTTTTGGACAAAATTATAATACCCTCTGCAAGGGTATAAAAAGTACCAAGCTTCTATCTTCAAAAATACGAAAATTGATTTTTTTACCAAATACCATTTCCGATCGTTCAGTTATATGGCAGCTATAGGATATAGTCGGCCGATCCTAATGAAATTTGGTAGGTTGGATTAACTGACCAAAAATAGAATCTGTACCAAGTTCCAGCTTTCTATTTTTAAAAACACGAAAGTTGGGTCATTTCCGATCGTTCAGTTATATGGCAGCTATAGGATATAGTCAGCCGATCCTTATGAAATTTGGCATGTCGTAATATTTTGCCAAAAATAGCTCTCGTGTCAAATTTGATCTCTCTAACTCTAAAAACACCGAAGTTATACTATTTCCGATCAATCAGTTATATGGCAGCTATAGGATATAGTCGGCCGATCCAGGCCGTTTCCGTTCCAAAAATAGCTCTCATGTCAAATTTGAACTCTCTAACTCTAAAAACACCAAAGTTATACCATTTCCGATCAATCAGTTATATGGCAGCTATAAGATATAGTCGGCCGATCCCGGCCGTTTCGACTTATATACTGCGTGCAAAGGAAAGAAGGGTGTGTGCAAAGTTTCAAGACGATAGCTTTAAAACTGAGAGACTAGTTCGCGTAGAAACAGACAGACGGACAGACAGACGGACAGACGGACATGCTCATATCAACTCAGGAGGTGATCCTGATCAAGAATATATATACTTTTAGGGTCGGAGATGTCTCCCTTCACTGCGTTGCACACTTTTGACCAAAATTATAATACCCTCTGCAAGGGTATAAAAAGAATCATAAAACTAAAACTTTATCAAAGTTGAAAAAACCGCTCGCTAATGAAATCGAACCCAGGACCCCATGAATAAGGACCGCGCACTATCCATCTAGGCTATCCTCGAAGTGGATTTTATGATACTTAAAATTAGTGTTAGAGGAGGCGCTAGAATCCATACCAAAAACAGAGCTGACGAGGAAGGATAGTAAAAGATATTTCTGATCTCTTTACTCTCACATTGGTTCGATTACAACGTTTCAAACTTTCATCGTTCCAAAAATGTTACGATGTAAAAATAGAATTCTCTCTTTCCCTCTCTCATCTGCCAGCCGTTTGTCGTGGAACCCGCTCTCAAATGTTTTCATTATAACAGCGGGTTCCACGACGGAAAAAATTAAAAACAAGAAAGGAAAGCTAACTTCGGGCGGATCCAAAGTTGATATACCCTTGCAATTAAAACCGGATATATATCGCAAACATCGGATATAGTTGGCCGATCCTTATGATTACATCATAATAAAACCAATTAATTAAAATAAAATATCTAAGAACAAGAAAGCAAAGCTAACTTCGGGCGGAGCCGAAGTTGATATACCCTTGCAGCTAAAACCGGATATATATTGCAAACATCGGATATAGTTGGCCGATCCTTATGATTACATCATAATAAAACCAATCAATTACACTAAAAAATCGAAAAAAAAGTCCCAAGCTTCTATCTTCAAAAATACAAAAGTTGATATTTCTACCAAATACCATTTCCGATCGTTCAGTTATATTGCAGCTATAGGATATAGTCGGCCGATCCTAATGAAATTTTGTAGGTCGGATTAACTAACCAAAAATAGAATGTGTACCAAGTTCCAGCTTTCTATCTTCAAAAACACGAAAGTTGGGTCATTTCCGATCGTTCAGTTATATGGCAGCTATAGGATATAGTCGGCCGATCCTAATGAAATTTTGTAGGTCGGATTAACTGACCAAAAATATAATCTGTACCAAGTTCCAGCTTTCTATGTTAAAAAACACGAAAGTTGGGTCATTTCCGATCGTTCAGTTATATGGCAGCTATAAGATATAGTCGTCCGATCCATATGAAATTTGGCATGTCGTATTATTTTGCCAAAAATAGCTCTCATGTCAATTTTTAGCCCTTTAACTCTAAAAACACCAAAGTTATACCATTTCCGATCAATCAGTTATATGGCAGCTATGGGATATAGTCAGCCGATCCTAATGAAATTTGGTAGGTTGGATCAACTGACCAAAAATAGAATCTGTATTAAATTCCAGCTTTCTATCTACAAAAACACGAAAGTTGGGTCATTTCCGATCGTTCAGTTATATGGCAGCTATAAGATATAGTCGGCCGATCTTTATGAAATTTGGCATGACGTAATGTTTTGCCAAAAATAGCTCTCATGTCAAATTTGAACTCTCTAACTTTAAAAACACCAAAGTTATACCATTTCCGATCAATCAGTTATATGGCAGCTATAGGATATAGTCGGCCGATACCGGTCGTTCCGACTTATATACTGCGTGCAAAGGAAAGAAGGGTGTGTGCAAAGTTTCAAGACGATAGCTTTAAAACTGAGAGACTAGTTCGCGTAGAAACAGACAGACAGACAGACGGACAGACGGACAGACGGACAGACGGACAGACGGACATGCTCATATCAACTCAGGAGGTGATCCTGATCAAGAATATATATACTTTATAGGGTCGGAGATGTCTCCTTCACTGCGTTGCACACTTTTGGACAAAATTATAATACCCTCTGCAAGGGTATAAAAAGTACCAAGCTTCTATCTTCAAAAATACGAAAATTGATTTTTTTACCAAATACCATTTCCGATCGTTCAGTTATATGGCAGCTATAGGATATAGTCGGCCGATCCTAATGAAATTTGGTAGGTTGGATTAACTGACCAAAAATAGAATCTGTACCAAGTTCCAGCTTTCTATTTTTAAAAACACGAAAGTTGGGTCATTTCCGATCGTTCAGTTATATGGCAGCTATAGGATATAGTCAGCCGATCCTTATGAAATTTGGCATGTCGTAATATTTTGCCAAAAATAGCTCTCGTGTCAAATTTGATCTCTCTAACTCTAAAAACACCGAAGTTATACTATTTCCGATCAATCAGTTATATGGCAGCTATAGGATATAGTCGGCCGATCCAGGCCGTTCCGACTTATATACTGCGTGCAAAGGAAAGAGGGCTGTGTGCAAAGTTTCAAGTCGATAGCTTTAAAACTGAGAGACTAGTTCGCGTAGAAACAGACAGACAGACGGACAGACAGACGGACAGACAGACGGACAGACGGACATGCTCATATCAACTCAGGAGGTGATCCTGATCAAGAATATATATACTTTATAGGGTCGGAGATGTCTCCTTCACTGCGTTGCACACTTTTGGACAAAATTATAATACCCTCTGCAAGGGTATAAAAAGACTCTACATTTTTTACAACAGCTTGGCTATTCTGGGACCAACAAAGCTTATGGCGTGAGCAACGAACCTTATGGCGTCAGCGGTCTCACACAACTTCGTATGTATGAGCATTTGCAAAACAAATGAGCAGCAAGAGTAATGGGATGAGCGCCACTGCGTTTAAGTATTTTTGAATTTAATGACTTTGGCCATCCAAACAAAAGAAATATATAAGTAGGTAGGTCAGGGCACAAGGACCTTCTGCAGAACACAAGGATCAAGACACATATGTTTAAAGCCATAAGTATATAGCTAGAAAAGTTAAACATTTACCTCGACGATTACCGCGGTCAGTCTTATGATAATGCCTCTAACATGTCAGGGATTTAAAAAGGTTTACAAGCCGAAATTCAAGAACAAGCTCAATTTGCTATGTTTGTTCCTTGTGCAGCTTCATTTAGTTTGGTAGGAACCTCGTCTGCTGAGTCTTATACAGAGGCCTGCCACTTTTTTATGTTGCTAGAGTTAGAGTTAAAAAATTAACGATTTAGATAGGAAGAGGAAAAGCACTCAAGAAAACCACTCGACCGATCGTTATGAAATTTGGTAGGTTGGATTATCTGACCAAAAATAGAATCTGCATAAATTTTCAGCTTTCTATCTTCAAAAACACGAAAGTTGGGTCATTTCCGATCAATCAGTTATATGGCAGCTATAAGATATAGTCGGCCGATCCGGGCCGTTCCGACTTATATACTGCGTGCAAAGGGAAGAAGGGTGCAAAGTTTCTAGACGATAGCTTTAAAACTGAGAGACTAGTTCGCGTAGAAACAGACAGACGGACATGCTCATATCAAATAAGGAGGTGATCCTGATCAGGAATATATATACTTTATAGGGTCGGAGATGTCTCCTTCACTGCGTTGCATACTTTTGACCAAAATTATAATACCCTCTGCAATGGTATAAATATAAGTATGTTCATGATCTCTCAAAATTTGATACTATCCGAGTATATCACTAATTCCGATAAATTTTTTCGGAGCTATACATTAATTTGTATGGCCATGTTGGAGTGCCTCAAAGGGACCATGATAACTTAGAACTCGTTTTTCTCAAAACAGCAAAAAACAGCGAAACTTCTCGAAAATGGATAAACATATCGGTCATAAAGGCTTACACAATCGTCTTGGATACACTACACACTGTGTAGTACACAGGTAATGAGCAAATAAATTTATTTTAAAATATATATTTCTATTTTTTTCAACAATTCAAATACAAATTTTCAGCAAAAAGTATTTTGTTTAAAGTTCAGCCATTTTGTCAAAAATAGGAATTTTTTTTAATCCTTCGTTCAGTACCTGCATTTATGAATTCTTTAAAAGAATCAATTTTTAGATTTTGCATATTCCAAACCGACAAAAACGAGATAACCGCAAATGCTTTATTTTTCCAAGACGTTTCTTGCACGGCTACAGAATATTGGAAAATATTTTTGGATGATCGACCTGCTATTATCATCCTAAAAGTAGTTTCTGTTTAGTAAATAATAATTTTCTTAAAACAGCTTAAGGTATTTTCGTTGCAGTTTAAAAAATGCTGAATTTTCGGGTCGCGGTTGCGTGAAGGTTAAGATATCATCGAAATAAAACTCATTTCGGCATAATTATTACGGCATTAATTTATGTAAACTTACTACCCATTCACTGTACAATACTCGGCATAATAAGCTATGCACAAAGCAAAAGCTTTTTATCGAACAAGCCTCGAAAAGTTTCACATCAAATGTGTCCATCGCTATAATAAACAAGCCAAGTTTTTTTACACCAAAAGCTTTTAGTTAAACACAGAAGCTCTTTGTGAGCTTTCAATTGACTTTAATTGCAGGGGTTGGACACAGAGTTTCACAATAAATAATACGTTTACATTTGCATAAATAAATTTATTAAATATATAAATTTCAATTTCATCAAATAATGGTATGTCTCTACCATAAATTATTTTGAATAAATACTTATTATATTTGTTTTAAGATACTATCGAATCGGAATTCATTATTAAATAAACAAAATGTAGACCGTGGTTTTCTTGGATTACTATGTTATTGTTATATACTGTTATCAAAGATTTTACATGTCTATGCTTTGCCACCAGTGATTCGAGTTGGTAAGTTTAGACAACTGAAATTTAGTTGTCAGTAACTAATTTTATTATATCGATTTTTTTAAAGGCGCAATATTTACGGAAGAAGAGAGAGAAAGCAGTGTCGAATCTGCTTTTAAGTATGCCATATATCGAATAAACAAAGAAAAAATACTTCTTCCAAATACCCAGCTTGTTTATGACATTGAATATGTCCCTCGCGAAGACTCTTTTAGAACCACAAAAAAGGTTTGCAGGCAACTTGAAACGGGAGTCCAAGCCATTTTTGGACCAACTGATCCACTTCTTGCTGCTCATGTTCAGTCTATATGCGAGGCATACGACATACCCCACATTGAAGCTCGTATCGATCTTGAATATAACTCTAAAGAATTTTCGGTCAATTTATTCCCATCCCTCAAGCTCCTAACACTTGCTTACAAAGACCTAATGGTATACCTAAACTGGACAAAGGTGGCAATTATATATGAAGAAGATTACGGTAAGTGTTTCTAAATTACTATAACTATACTTTTATTGAGAGTAATATACTTTTGGTCAAAAATGTGCTATGCAATAAAAGGGACATCTACGAAATTATATATATATATATGTATCCATATATATCCATATATATACCATATATATATGGTATATATATAATTATATATAAAATATCTTCTCTAAAATAGTTCGAAAAAAATGTATTATTTTTTGAGTTTCGGTTTTTATACAGTGTGATTCTTTAAAACTGCTTAGAATTTCAGAAAAACTGCTTAGAATGTTAGAATTTTAGAACTAACTTAACTTTGGGGCTCTAAGTTCTTTTTATAGGTACCCTTGCTTAAGCTTTTTGCAGATCAAAGCTTCAAAGAAACTTTTCTCTCTGTGAGGCTTTGTTCTCTGAAGGAAGTCGATTGAATTGGAATCTGTTACATGGAGGTGTCAGTTAACAAGGAAGGCTTTGGATCTCAATTATTCGAGGTGACAAGAAAAATGTGAAATTTCTTATGAAGAATGGTTTCAGCTGTTTAGTTATATTTCACTTAAGAGAACTGAGAAAGATTTGCATCGGGATTCTGTTTACCCAAATATTATTGTATAATATAATATTTGAAATGAGGCTGTTTTCAGCAGAATTAAATATTTATGTTTTTACAAAAATTGCAATGAGGCTATTTGCAGCGGTATTACGAATTTCAAGACTAAAAGCTTTAGCTTCGGTTTACAAAACTTATTGATGTACAATTAAAGAGGTTTTGTTGATATGTTACTATATATATTATATATTCAATATATATACTAATATACCATATATATATACATATATATACGTATATATATACATATATATATTTTTTGATCAGAGTCTTCTTCTGAGCATTGTGAAAGGTTTTGATTTTAAAAAATCACATTAAACAAGTAAGGAAAGCTAACTTGAATCATGCAAGTTGATATACCCTTGCAGTTAAAACCGGATATATATAGCAAAAATCGGAAATAGTTGGCCGATCCTTAATATAATCTGTAAAAAGTTTAAACTTTCTATCTTAAAGGGGGGACTTTCTATCTTAAAGTAACAGGCCAAATGAAAAAGCCAATCGAAAATTTGTAACTGAGGTTTTTTTATAATATATTTAAAGTACAAAATACATTTTTTTTTAATAAATCGAAAACAAAATTGCGGCTTTGCAGCCTTTACTCGTCGGCCCTATTTTTTTAAAGGGGGTCCATGGCCGAACAGCTAACGTCCTTAATTTTTGATCTAGAGCAAAAAATCAAGTTTGGTTAGTTTCTGTACATCAACGGTTATCGACACACGTAGGATTTTTTCGATATATTGATTTTTTGCAAAAAAAAAAAAAAAAAATTGAAAAAAAATTTTAATTTTCACGAACAAAAAATGTTACAAAATTGTTGATAAAAAAAAAAAATAAGCAATTAAAAAAACATCCTACGTGTGTCGATAGACATAGGTATTCTGAGTATACTGTTCTAAGTTGTTCGAGTTTATGTCCGGCCAACTCAAAAAAAGCGGTTTCGAGAAAAACGCGTTTAAAGTTTTAAGTACTGTGGAATATACCTGTGAGGCATCGCCGCACTTTGCCGGACTCTATCTTTTGATATGTTATTTTAAGACCCTAAAGAATTTTTTTAAGCGAAAAAAAAAATGTTTGATTTTTCCAAAACTTTACTCAGATTTCCCCATAAGAAAAAAAAGTTGAGTCATTCCCAATCGTTCAGTTGTATGTCCAGCTATAAGATATTATAGGCCGATTCCGTAAATCCGGAAATCTCGAAAAAAAGAACCCGTAGAATCCCAACTCTCTAACTTTTCCTATAACTATGTGTCAGCTATAGGATATAGTCGGCTGAGACTTGTTTGCGTAGAAACCAGAGCTCGCAAATAACAGTTGACAGTTTCTTGTAGTCACCAAAAAACTGTTTTTTGCAGGGACCGTAATTATTATAATTTCTAAAATAAAAATTAAAAAATAAAAATTATTTGTTGATTTTTATGACAAAAATTGAAATATAACTCTTATTTTCAATTTTTATAATAATAATTAAAAATAAGAATTATTTTTCAATTTTTGCTAAAAAAAAAAAAAATTACAAATTATGATTCAATTTTTATTATAAAAATTGATACAAAAATTGAATGCGAATAACTTCTGAACCGAGTGGACTATTAAAAACCCGCTTACATATTTATGATCTGTGGCGCAGTACCTTTCAAATGATGTATCGAACGTCCTGAAAGGTCATAATCAAGGATTCTTCAATTATTCAATTTATTTAGTTATATTTCTACTAGAAATTCTCAACTCTGTACACACCCATTTTCAAGTACACACCGAGTTTCTTAAGATTCTTTCGATTATATTGAAATATTTGTTGTATATTTCTTAATTTTCCATTTATTTAGTTTTAAAAACAACAGTTTCTTTATGGACTCCGATGATAAGTTATAAGTTAGCAAATTGGACTGCAGGAGAATATAATGGAATACTGGGAAGGCAAAAAGTTTACTTATCCTCGGCTCTACCAACTAGCAAAAGTGTTGCATAGTGTGCCTGCTACCCAGGTTTCGGTAGAAAGAGCATTTTCTGCACTTAAATTGGTACTTCCGGATTTACGGTGTAACTTATCATCGGAGTCCATAAAGAAACTGTTGTTTTTGAAACTAAATAAATAGAAAATTAAAAAATTTACAACAAATATTTCAATATAATCGAAAGAATCTTAAGAAACTCGGTGTGTACTTGAAAATGGGTGTGTACAGAGTTGAGAATTTCTAGTAGAAATATAACTAAATAAATTGAATAATTGAAGAATCCTTGATTATGTCCTTTGAGGACGTTCGATACATCAATTGAAAGGTACTGCGCCACAGATCATAAATATGTAAGCGGTTTTTTAATAGTCCACTCGGTTCAGAAGTTATTCGCATTCAATTTTTGTTTTCAATTTTTATAATAAAAATTGAATCATGTTGTTTTGTGTCATGTGGAGTTGCCTTAAACGGCTCCCCACACGCGTAGGTCCGAAGAAAGGGGTACTTCAAAGGCCTTGGCTGTGGCTAACGGAACGTTTTATTCTATAAATTCATACATTAGTTTACAATTCAAATATTAATTCCTCTTCTTACCGCAGTGTGCCCTCCTACAATCAACAAAACAATGAATGGCACTTTTTGGCGGCATTCACATAACCGCGATTGATAAGCCCGTACTTCCGATAACTTAAAATACTACATCTCCTAATAATACTGACTTAACTATCGATAACAATGTTTTTGACCGTCGACATCCCCGACCCCGTGAAGACCCGCTTCACTCAAATCCAAACTCCAAGTTTAGAGACGGGCCGCAACATTGTCCAAGATAGTCCATTAGCTCCATCCATCTCCATCGGCTCCGCTGTAGACCTCCTCCACGATGCCCTTGCGCCACTCTCGTCTGGGCAAGGCAGGATCGCAGACGAAGACCATATCGCCCTGGCGGATGGGCTCCGTTCCCTGGCACCACTTCTCGCGGCGCACAAGCGCAGGCAGGTACTCCATGGTGGGACTCCACATGGTCCCTCGGCGCGACTTCTTCCAGGGTATGGCGCAGCACTCGCTTGACGCAATGCACCATCTGCTCCCACACTCCGCCTCTGTATCCTCTCACTCTCGAACGCGTCTCCAAATCGTCTGGCCTCCTTGTCGGCTCCCACGAAGTTCTTGCTCACCTCGTACACATTCGGGTCTCGATCGTCGTTACCATCTCTCCAAAGGAATCGTTGGGAACATCGATCTCCAACCTTGGCTGCAGCATTCAAAACAAGCCGGACCTCACCGGGCTTGTTCGGGGTTTCGACAGCGAATTGTGGCAAATCCCATAGCTTGTCACTCTTCACCGCGACCTCATCCGGCTGCAATTTCCGCGCATATTCTTTGGACACTTCCTTGATGATCCGATCGTATCCTAGCGCCAACGGCCCGTTGCGCTTCAACTTCTCGACGTTGATCAGCCGTCTGTGTGCCATCTCGTAGCTCCGTGGCAGCACAGCGTGGTCCTCCTTCCAGAGCAATCCCGTCTGGTCGCGACGCCCCACTTTCACCGTGGTGTCGTCGAGGATCCTTTGGGCCCGCGCGTCGTCGCTGGCTGCGACCGGTTGCGCGAGCTTCACACCAAAGCCTTCCATCTCGACGTAGTCCTCCACCATCTTTTCCATCGTGTCCTCCACTGACACGACTAGAAGGCAGGACCTCGGTGACGGCGTAGTCGATTGTCCACTTACTGGCCCAAACACAACCCATCCAAGCTCGGTTGCGGCCGCGAACGGTCCCTCTCTGGCAAACCGCCTCGTCCTAAGTGGCAATCCCAAATGTCCATGGTCCAGTCCGATGAGCATCTTCGGCACCACGTTGCTGTAGGGCTTCATCGGCAGGTGCGAATCCTTATGAACTCCCTGGACATCTCGTCGACATAACGTCTGCATCGGCAGACTCAGGCTCGAAACGGCGTACACGTTCCTCAACGGGTGACGAGTGGGCTTCCCAGCTCCACTGATCTCCAGGCTCACCACGTTGGTAGGCTCCCTGCTGGCTCTTCCTCCAAACCATTGTTCGATGTTCAGTTGTCGACGTTCGCCTTGCACTCCCAGATCCCTCCGTAGCTCGTCGTCGATCATCGTGACGGAGGATCCTTCATCTAATAGCGCGTATGTGTCCACCTGGCGACCAGCTCCGTACAGCGTTACTGGCAGTATACGGAAGAAAAGTCGGCCTCCTTTGACGTCAATACTCAAGTTCCTCTGCATGGGCGCCTCCGCTGGCTGCGGGGCCCTTCTCTCCTGGCTGTTCCTGCGGACAGCCGACTCCTGGGTCCTCTCGTGGTCCCTGTAACCACCTCGTGGCGAAGACCTCCTGTCCGGGCTGCGTCTGGAAACTGGTGACATCTGGTTCCCTCCGTTGTGGCGCCTGAAACCACCTTGCTGCTCCGGCCGTCTTCG